TCCCCAAAATTGCCCCACAAAACTATGGTACATTGTCCCAGGCTCTCGACCCCATTCATACTCGGCCCAAGCAGTCACCCCATGCCTGAAAAAGAAGGAAGACACAAAAACGAACAACTCCTGCAGTCATGATTACTTCCGCAGAGAAGTGGTACATAATTATTGCCAGCTGCCTGCTTTTCAGGTTGCCAATTCCCCCGTTTCCTTGTCCTGAGCCTCTTGCACCCATTGCTCCACCGGATCCCGGTTCAAAAACTTGACCAGCCTCTATCCCGGAAATGACCCTTTTATCCCGGTACCGTCAAGATCCTCAAGTTCAAAAGTGTTCAGCCCCACCCGCTTAGCGATCCTGTAGGGGCCTTTGAACCTTCTTCCCAGCTGTCCGGACCACGTGCTTTCAAGAGCTGAGTTCCTAACTAGTACCTTCTCCCCCACTTGGAGCGGCTCCTTCCGGATGTTCTTGTCGGCTATCCATTACACGTTTAACCACATCCTCCAAGGCTTCCTCATTTCTGACGATCTGTTGGCATCGTGCCGCGATCAACTCCTCCGTAGACATGTGTGGATTGTCATCCAGCCTGTTCCAGGTAGGAACCAATGCTTCCACTGGGAAATCAATCTCCCTCCCATACCAGAGTTCTCCCGGAATGCACCCCGTCGTCCTCTTTGGTGTCATGTTTTATGAAAAGATCGCTTGCTTAAGGTACCGAGGCCAGTTTCCCAGGTCATCTGCCGCTAGCTTATTGATTGTGTTTTTCAAGGTTCGGTGCCCCCTTTCTACATGTGCGTTGGCCTTAGGATGGTATGGTTCGATGATCTTGATAGGTACGCACAACGTCTTGAGCCTACTTAACACTTCGTGATTTACGAACTCCGTCCCATTATCCGCTATGAACCTTCGCACAAAGGGGTGTCTTAGGTAGAAGTCCTCTATCCGGTCGGCCACTCCCTTTCCCGTCTTTCTCTTAAGAGCTACTGCCTCTACGTAACCACTGAGATTATCCCTTGCATCCAGGATGTACCTGTATCCATCCACCGATACAGGCATGACCGCAAGGTCAAGGTGGACCAGGTGCCCCGGTCCCAGTATCTGAGTAGGTCTAAGGGGCTCGAAGACACGTGCGAAGCTCCTTTCCTGACATATTAGGCACGTTTGACAGTACGTAGTCACCTTACCAGCCATACCTGGCCAGAAGTAAAATGGCACGATTTTTGCAAGAGTCCCTTTGGACGACCGGTGCCCTCCGGTTAGCCCATCATGCATCGCCTGGATTATGTCCAACTGCCTAGACCTTCCGCACACGACACGCCTAGGCATCATCCCTTCTTCTCTCTTGAATAGGTGGTCGTTCCTCAAAACATACCTCTCAGCTTCCTCCCTTGCCTTGAGGCTGACTTCCATAGGCTGCTTATTTTCTATAAGCAGCAGACCGATCTCTCTGAAGACGCCATCATACATCTGCACAAGGAAGAATTTTTGTCCCTCCTGCTTGGTATCTTGCTTCTCCTGAGCCTGATTCACTAGATACTGCACTTCCCTTCGCGTCCAAGTTTCTACGAGACTCATCACAGCATCCCGACCCCCTTCAACGGCTATTGCCATCAGCTCCTCTTTCGGCCCGATCGTTGCTCCTCACGAAACTTTCTCATCCTTGCGTCTAATCGTGGTAACTGACCCTTCCCTGAGTTCCGCAACTACGGCGGGCGCGCCCTTTTCCAGGGTCTGAATTAGCAGCTGGCCTGTTGTAGGAGCGGCGCCCGCCATCTCGTTATCTACGATAAGGGTCCCCCCTTCGTACTCCAGGAAAGCGTTGATTGGCTCCGCATCCTCTACTCCCTCCTGCGTGATGCAAACCCGACTTAGCCCGTCTGCCCTGTTTCGGGGCCCCGCAATTCGCTCGACTTTGTAGTCGAATTGCCATATAAAGCCTATCCATCTCCCAACGGTCGGGTCTATAGGCTTGTAATTCTTTAATGCCCCGACGACATTGATCGGATCGATTCTCAGGATAAATCGTCTTCCGAATAGGTATGCCTGAAAGGTCTTAAGGATATGTAGAATGGCTAAGACCTCTTTCTTGAATTGTGAATATCGTCGTTCTGCCGAATTCAGGTTCCTACTCTCAAATCTGATAGGCCTCTCCTTGCCCTCCTCACTCCTTTGTATCAGGACTCCTCCTACTGCCAATGACCCTCCGTCTGTTTTTAAGATAAAGGGTCGTCCTACTTCGTCATTGAAGCAGGGTGCTGCCAAAGTCACTTGATCGGAAGACAGGACGTCTTTAAGGGTCTGGACTGCTGCTTCCCTTTCCTCGGTCCACTCCATAGTCCCTCCTTCCCTAATCATTGCGCGGATAGACTCAGCTATTTTGGCAAAGCCCTTAATAAAGATCCTCCAGAATCCAACCACCCCTAGGAAGGTTCGTACTTCCGTTGTGGTGCGCAGCGAAGGGTCACCTCCGGGACCGCCAGGATGCTCTTTGGTCCGCTTGCGGTAATATTATACACCAGGAATCGCTGGAGCAGATCCTTGATGTCCTGCAGATGATCCCAGACAAACTTTCGTATGCCCGACTGGACCTCTGTCTCATCCTTGTTCTGCGCGCCTTTTATGGGATTGTCGTCTATGTACGGTTCGCATTTCTCCGGGAACATGTCCCCTGCGACCGCAAGCATCCTCCTTTGCGCATCTGCCACAGCGTTTGTAAAGCCCATAAGGGTTACTTGCATCTGCAACTGCCCTACCGGGGTGTGCATGGCGGTGTACGGTCTGTCCCTAGCGTCAAGTGGCAGTTGATCATACCCTAAGTATAAATCTATCAAGGAGTAAATGCTTCGGCCAACGTGAGATTCGGCCAGCAGATCTGCCTGTGGAAGCGATCCCGCATCCCGGATTGTAACCGCATTCAGCTTCTGCAAGTCCTGGATCCATCTGAGCGACTTGTTGGGCTTCCGAAAAACGAACCACTTGTTCGCGTAGGGGGATGCGGTGGGTTCGGCCACGAACGAATCTATCTTGGCTCTAAGCAATTCAGCGACTTCCGCCGCTATTCCGAACTCGTAGGCGGACCCCTTGTCATTCCAGCATTCGTGTTCCACCGTGTGGATCCTAACAGGGGAAATTAGCTTCGCGTCCAGTCGGCCTTTCTGGTGGTCATTGAAGGCAAAGGCTAAATGAAACTCTTGGCAAGCTTTCCTTATCAGCTGGGTCTCTTCCACCGTTAGGAACCCATCTACCCCTATTTTCATGGTGTCTGCTACCTCATCGTGTATCCAATGCCCCTCCGCTGCTCGCCTCTCCCTGATTATCCGCAAGATTTCTTCCTCCTTTTCCATGGCCTCTTCCCTTGATGTTTCTACTAGGATTGAGACCGGCTTGGCTTTCTTTCCTACCGGTTTGTACTTTCGCACACTTCCTTCTGGGATCATTCTCCTAAAAAATGAACGGTCGGGATCGACCTTGCTACCTCCATGATGCGGGGTTGAAGACTGACTACCTTTTCGTTCAGACAATAGCCTTTTTGGACCTCATCTTCGAATTTGGAAAGCGCTGCCGGGTCTACCCCCACTTTGTGGTACCTGATAGCCTTAACGAGTTGTAACAAGTCTGGAATTTCGAGCACTACCTCCGATGTTTCCTTCCGGTCTTCCTTTGATTTGGGCAGGTTGGCCTCAAGTTCGACTTTCGACTCCTTCTCTGCCACCATAACCCCTAGGACCTCGTCCTCTTGTCTCCTTTTCTTTAGAGGTAGCCCCATCTTGATCCACTCCTTTTTGCTAAAGGCCTCCTCAATCATAATCTCCACTCTTTCCCTCATTCCTTCCATCCGGGCGAATGCCCCTTTTCGCGCACTATCCTCGAACGTTGGCGACCAGGTTGCCAATTTGCCCTTCGGAGGATCCCCTCCGGTCCCAAGGAGTCATAGGAGTTCTCCGCGGTCGGTCACGGGGTCCTCTATATCCACCATGTACGTTGTCGAGCGCATCGGTCCGGCACCACACAGGGGCAGCGCGGGACCCTCCTAATCCCTTCATAGCCATCCCATAACTTTCCGACGTGAAAATCAGATAAGCGATGCGCGCGAGACTTATTATGAAACCGTGCGGACGTAGGACCTACTCATGACGACTCGCAATGCAAGCGTACGCAAGCGGTCGGAGTGATGGCGTACTTTGTAGTACCCATACTCATGCGGTCCTCGTTAATCTCGAGGGTCGCATTCAACACTCAAGTGTCGGCTGACACGCGCCTTGAGGGTTAAACTCTCGACGCTGGACAACCGTCAAGTGCGGTTGAAAACCACACCCTCTTCTGCACCCTGCGGAGAGTGGGTGGTGCCAATCGTCTCTTATGGCCCTGGAGACCAGTTCCATCATCTAGGGCCTGAAGAGAAGTCAAGGGGTTTGACTTTGACGGTTGCCACAGACTACAACGTCCAACTATAAAACTTAACAAGCGAACTCACTCAATAAATAAACAGGCATTCCAATACCCATATATGTAATCAGTGCTCGAGGTAAGATAAAAGAAGGGGGAAACATAAACCCAACAGGTATGCAGATCATGCGACACATGGTTGTCATTCTCACTGCCTCCAAAGTATGACCCATATACCAAGCTCCAAAATACTAACCTGCATAAAACACAGACACACACAATAGTCACATTGCCATACACCAATATGGTCAACTTTACTGTTCCCTGTAACTCACACCACGCCTCACACACTCAAGCCCCAGTCATAGTTCAACTTTCCATTAGTCTCATAAGTCCTTTGTAATGGTCATTAAAAGAAGTCCGGTTAAAACCCTCAAAGAAACATATCAATTCACAGGGCTAAGGCAGTCAAGCTGAGGTACAGGTGTAAGCAAAGTTGTGTCGTGAGCCGACGAATCGGTGATCAACCAACCGACCTGTTATCAGTGATAACAAAAGATGATCCTCGTGAGATCAAGCTGAAACTAGTCCAAATCTTGGATCGAATGTCCAAAGAAGACCTGTATCATACGACATGTCAACGTCCAAGCTAAATCGTCAATGTATGGAGATCAAATCTCCATGACACGTTCTCACTCAAGACTCTCCTGACATTCAAGCCTAGGTCTACCTCTAAGCCAGTGCCCAAAGAAAGGTAGACCTATTGCAACATCTCCCCCATACAGAGTGGATCGCTAGAGTCGCCACCTGTCGAAATATAATCTATCTCCTCTAAACTAAGAAAATTTGGACAGCGCTTCCCGTAGGAAAAATGCCTTTCCAAAATTTATATCAGCCTAAATATGAAAACATAAATAATATTCAACCTTCCAAAGTCAAATTTTGTCTAACTCCCGGAATTAGCAAAAATTTGGGCAGCATTCCCTTTAGAAAAGGAGACTTCCCAAATTTTTACTAAGCCATATATATAAGATCAGACAAGTTGAATTTTGAAAAGCTAAGTTTTTACTAACTCCTTGGATTTGCAGAACTTTCGGCAGCGCTTCCCGTAGAGAAAGTAGCTTACCAAAATTTATACAAAGCCAAGTTCATAATCTAAAATGACTTTGACTTCTCAAGGCCCAATTTTATCTAACTCCCTGAATTAGCAAAAATCTAGGCTGCACTCCCTTTAGAAAATGAGACTCCTCATATTTTTACTAAGTCATATATAAAAGTCAGACAAACTGAACTTTGAGAAGACAAAATCTGACTAACTCATTGGTTTTGTAAAAATTTTGGCAGCGCTTCCCGTAGAGAAAGTGGCTTACCAAAATTTATACAAGACCAAGTATATAAAAAAAAGATCTCAGAAAATGCAGAAATCGACCTAGGCAAAAATAAGCTTAGCTCAGAAAATACAGGAATTTGAAACTAACTCCTATCGCTCTAGCACGTTGTGAGCATCTAAAGCAACTACCTGTCAACTAAAACTCAGACTAAGTAGTAATCTCACTCAGCCACATGCAAGCCTAACCACAAAGGTAAGTACTCTTACCAGCCCCAAGTTATTTCACATAAGATAATTCATGAATCTTAAAGTAATCCAACCCTTATACCCAACTCACATATGGCATAACGCTAGACCATTCGTCTTGGAAATAATGTCTAGCATGCCTTTAGGATATACACGAACAGGTTGCACTACTACTTTTCTCTTCTTTGGGCATATGACTAGACCATTCTAGTCGCCCTGGACTGTTTAATATCCAAAATTTACTAACTTTCTGACTTTGTTCTCAAAAGAAATGAAAATATGGGCAGGGGACTGAACCATTCGGCTTGGAAACAATGTTCATCTTGCCCAGATTACTTCCATTTATACTCTGTATTTTCCCTTCTCTTCTTAGGGATATGGCTTAGCGCTGGACCATTCGACTTTGAAACAATGCCTTGCTGCCCGTTCACATGCAAATATAAGTAAAGTACTTTCTTTTATACTCGGGTTGTACTTATGTGCGTGGTTTTCAGGCTAAGCCATTAAGCTTAGAAACAATGCTCAGCCTTAGACCAAAATCCTCCCTCAGAACAAAACAAGAAAACCCTCCACATCAGGCAAACCCTCAGAAAATAAACATAGCAACCAGGTCATTCAGCTTAGAAACAATGCCTGGCCCTTCAGAAAACAGCCAAATAAACACAACCCTGGGCCATTCAACTTAGAAACAATGCCCAGTCTTTGGTTGACCCAGTCAAACGCATGAAAAACTGCCTTCCTCCCACCTCCCCCCCCAGTTCATCCCTTAGTCTGCTTTCAATCAAAATAAAGATGCAACTTAAACTTCACTCTCACACATTCCTTCCATGTAGTCTGATTCGGTCATGAAAAGAAGCAAAGTCATAGGGGCAATCTCATGCATACATCGGTCAAACTAAAGGGAGATAAACAAACAGGGGTATAGTGGGGTCATACAGATAGAGAATGATATATCTGAAGGTTCCCTGCCTCCAGAACCTCGCCTAGGTTCCGGCAGAGCTCCTGCAATCGGTGGGTGGACTACCCACAGAGTCTTGACGCGGTCCTACGGGTTGCAATGGGTGAGGAGTTTCAGACTCTCGAGATACAGGAGAGGGCCTTGAAACCTTCATGCGCCTGAGGGGCCCCCAATGGCGGCCAGAATGCACAACCGCTGGTCACAGTGCAGGACAAGAGGAAGCTCTGGTGGAGGAAAAGTCAGAGCGCTGGGAGGGGAAGAAGAAGGTGGTGGACTGGAGGAGGAAGAGGAAGAAGATCTCTCTCTCTCTCTATACCAGGTACTGACCTGCGAAAGGTGGTGCCTTGATGCAGGTGCGGACGTGCTGAAGACAAAGCTGGAGCAGTGGCCACGCAGGTAAGTCTCAGGTAAGTCCTCTGGCCGCCATCACCATCTCTCCCTCCCTGCGCTACTCTACTCTATCAGCGCCCAACACTGGAAGACTAGTCCTATCGTCAACTACTATTGCACTGCTGTCGTCTGAAGTATGCCTGATATCAATCCCAAGTATCCCCCCAACGTCTGTGTCCAATGTCGAGTCTGAATCCCAAGTGTTGTCAATCTCTCTCTCTCTCTCTCTCTCTCTCTCTCTCTCTCTCTCTCTCTCTCTCTCTCTCTCTCTCT